AAATACATTTTTGTAAGCAGATGTGTGCAAATTGTATTGCCTTAAAACATCAAAACAACATACAATACAATTTTTGCAAGTAGTTTTACACTTAAAATCCTCTTTTTTTTGTTTATAATTTTCTTCATTTTGTTGTTCTATATTTTCTAATTCATCTTCTTGGGAGAAATCTTTTATTTCATAATTTGCCAAAGATTKAATACTATCCCATTTTTGTGAAAAATCCTTCATCTCTACCATAAATTCATTCACTGAAAATTCACTGTCAATTTTTTTTAATTGAAATACAAAACTATTACTTTTGTTAATTAATTGATGCAAGTCATTAATATTAGAAAAATTATTTGGATCYAAGTACGACATACATAAATAAAGATCTTTATGTTTTTCAAACCTGTTTCTTAAACTACTTAGTATTTGATCATATATAACATTAAAAACGTGAACTKTAAATGAATTAATTGGTTTGTTTTCATGTTCTTGAAAACAGTCAAAATGTTTACTTTTTGTTTTATTTTTTCTTCGATTTGCTGTAAACGTTTCTTCGATTGAATAATCTAGACCTCTAGTTTCAAATTGTGAGTTAACCCACATGACAAATGTTTTTGTTGATTCAAGTATGGTTTCAAAATCTCTTGACTCAGATTGTAAAGTCTTAATTGTAGTTTCAACCATTTTATAAGCTTGAATCATATTCATCCCTTGAGTTTGTAAGTACAATGATAAAGAGGTTGTCGAAGAAAAAATACGTAAATATATTTGGGCAGTGATAATTGTTTCAAATTTAAGTAAATTATCAAGTAAAGTTTTTGCTCTGAATCTAATATCCGATTGAAAGTTATTATTGTTGTAGATATGATCAAAGGTTTCAATTAAATCAACGAAGAGTGCACAGTCTGGTTTAGAAAATACTCCAAAAACTTTTGTAAGGCTTCTATCTTTTGCCCACCATCGTGTTTCACCTATTATTGAAATAGTTTTATACTTGCTTGTTTCTTCCCATTTGGCCATCCTTAAGTATGATTCTCTGATAAAGACAGCACACGAATTCAGTACACCAAATAAACTGATACTTTGTACACTTACTTTAGTGGTGTCAATCATAACTAAATTTAAAACGTGTGCGTAGCACCATACGTGAACTTGACCGRGTGCTTCTTTTTCCATCCATGCTTTAAACCCATTGTATTGCCCTCTCATGTTAGAGGCACCATCTGTCGAAGATCCAATACACTTTTTCATATCAATACCCAAATCAGTCATAACCTTACATACTGTATCACATAAATTTTTTCCAGTGYCCGAAGTACYATTAACTACAGCAATAAGACGTTCATTTACTTTATCAGTAACATAACGAACTACTATACTTAATTGATCGTGAATGTTGACATCTTGTGTAGAATCAATTTGTACACTAAAAAATTGAGCTTTTTGTAAATCTTTAACAATATGTGTCTTCATAAGCTTTCCTATGRATTCAATAATATAGTCAGCGGTGGTCTTTGATASCAAAGTTACAAAGTTTCCTGGTCTACCAACTCCAGAATTTCGTTCATGATGTTTAGAACTTTTGATTACTACTTCGTCAATGTGAGTTTTTAAAACAGGATCGAATTTGGCRACTAATAAAAGTGCTTCAAGAAAATTTCCATGGTCTAAATTTTGGTCTCCTAACGTGTAAGCTGATTCTGCATTTTTTGMACCTCTATAGCTTAGTCCCCTTTTTCCTATAAACTTGATACACTCAATTATTCTTTCCAAAATGGCCCTTTTTCTAAGAACTTCTATCCGTTTTCTTTCAGTAAATCGGCCAAGTATATCTTTGGCCTGAGAATGCATTAAAAATGCTTCTGTACACTGATAATGATTAACAGATTTCTCATGTTCCTTAATTCTCTCATAAGGATTATTACTTATAGAAGAATCACACCCTAATACATATCGATTAATTTCTTTGGCAAAAACAATACAAAATGAACAATAAAACATTTTTGTTTCAACATTGTAAGTTAACCATTCTCTCTTATGACTCTCTGGCCCAAYATTTCTGTGATAAGCAATCAAAGGGTTAAACAAAATGTTATTAAAAGGCTGGATAGGATGGCATTTAAAAAATGTGTTAATGTCTGTRCTCTTAGGTTTTGAAAACAAATCTATCGTGCTTGACACATCCTCTGCAGTGTTCAAATTATTTAACTCGATCTAATAATACAAAACAAATTTCTGTATTTTAAATTCAAATTTTTGAAAACTATAACATGTACACTGGTACACAGGCTAGACACATAACACATAGATTTTAGAACATATATGAAAAAAAAATTAAG